GAAGAAATACTGACCTTGTAACCCACAACTTCAGATTCGTTGGCTAATGGTATGACGGGTTCCCAGCCCAGAGAAACCTGAGAGCCTTGCTGCTCCCACCTGAGGTTGCTAGGTGCTTGACTTGGGGCTGCAAAATAAAAAGTGAACGTGAACTGACAAGGATTCTTAAGTACATTTCTTCATTTAATTCCTTGTGAGTATCTCACTGTTTTCTCCTGCTTAGTAGTTGGCTGGCAATCTAGGCTTCCTTCCAGCTAGAGTCTGATAAGGAGGGTTTTGCTCCAGAAGTGTCATTTTAATAGCTACTCTACTGAGCTTTTGAACTTGAATCCTTTTATCTCCCTTCTGTGTCAAAATCGCTTAGCCTTGTTTCACAGGAAGATAACCTTTGTCTACTCTGAATGCGAAATTTTCTGAGCTAGTTTTAGGATTCAGATCTAAGCACTGAAGCAAGACTATGAATCAAAACTCCCCTTTGACTCTGCTTATTATGCACCTCACATGGCTTTGAGAAATGTTATAAGATGTTTCCCCTTTGTCTGAAACAAACAAAAAGCCCAGGTCACTTACGGGATTTCTTGGTGGTTGCACTCACTTCACTGCTAGGTGGCCCATATCCAGCTCCATTGTAAGCCCTCACTGTGAAGTGATATAACGTATTTCCTTCTAATCCTGTTAGGATGACGAAAGACTCATTCCCTCTAGTTTTGACTGTTTCTGCTGCATCTTCTTGTTCCATGTCTTTCCAGTAACCAACCTGTCAACAAATTGTCATATGGCAGGTTAATTTTAAAGCTTCCTCTGTGCTTGTGGCTGCTTGAATTTTTTCTCTTTTTTGGATGTTGCTGGAGTCCACTCATAGGAAGAAATCACTCCTATATCACCCAATTAACAGTTCTTATTAATAAGGCCAAAATACATTCCTAATTACTGTCTGCTTTGCATCTGTGTAAATTGCAGCACTACAGCAATACTCAAAAAAACAACCAAAGCTGCTACCTTGTAGCCTGGTGGCATGAAGGAGTGCAAATGCATCCTGACATTAAAGAAGAATCATTCCAAGAAATTGGAGTCCTTTTCTCTCATAGGTCATCAGAACAATTTACCATTCAAAACCATGAAACTTCAAATGAATTATCTGAGTATGTGGCATCTGAATATTTCCTCTTGAGCTTCACATAAAGATGAATCACACAAGTTGTATCAGTTTAATGGAGAAGAGGTAGCAGAACACTGGATACTCTGGAGTGGTTTGAATGTAGAGAAACAGCATTGTCAGGATCTGGGGGTAGGGAGGGTCGAGGGAGGCAGAAAGCAACAGCTTTCTGTCAAAGCCCTTTTTATGCATTGAGATCATCTTTCCTGGTTAGGAGCTTATGCTAACTGGCTTCAGCAAACTCGATCCCTTTGTGAGACTCAATGACTGTCCCACAATTAAGCTAAAGCTTTACTCTGTTCAGGCACTAGAACTTAACTACCTATCAATGCAACAAAGAGTAGTTTTTTTCCCTCTACTTTGTTACTGTTGAAAGAGGCAGGAGGCAGAGAAATTCTAGGCAGACAGAAATGGGTTCCCAGTGAAACTGTAGCTTCAAACTGAGAAGCCTGAAACCCATGGCCTGAAGTGAGAACTATTCCTTTTTGCCCATTCTCTTCTGATTTGTTTTTCTGAATAATGCCTTTTTACCAATCAAATCTTGCCTTCTCCAAAACTACCTATGGCCCACCCCGACCATCCTGTGAATAAAAACATCCCACCATCAGTCAGAAGCAATGAGAGAGGGCTGCACTTCAGAGGAGAGACAGCTTGACCTCAGGGAAGAGTCAACCTAACTTTGGGGAAGGCAACCTGCCCTTCCCATCCCCTTTCCAGCTCCCCTCTCCACTGAGAGCCATTTTCATTGCTCAGTAACATTCTCCACCTTCCCCATCCTTCAGTTCGTCCATGTGACCTCATTCTTCTTGGACACCAGACAAGAGCTCAGGGCCCACTGAGTGCAGGTACCCAGAAAGTCTGTCACACCAGCCCTTTGCCCTCACCAGTGGAGGGTAGTTGCCCCATGTGATGAGGCAAGGGGTCAACTGAGCTGCTAACACACAGCTGTCCACAGATGGCAGAACTAAGAGAGTGCTGTAACCCTCCCTCTGGGGTTTTGGGGTCACAGGCACCCTCATCTGGGCACTGTCATGGGCCCCACACAGAGCTTGCTCCTGTCAGATGAGCTACTAACACACAGCCATCCATGGATGGTGGAGGTAAGAGAGCACTGTAACACTCCCTCTGGGGTGTCAGGGTTGCAGACACTTTCACCTGGGAACCAATGCAGGCCCCACACAGAGCTTGCTTCTGTCAGCTGAGCTTCTCACACACAGCTGTCTGGGGACAGCAGAGCTAAGAAAGCACTGTTAACATTCCCTCTGGGGCTTAGGGGTCACAGGCACCTGGCACTACCTGGGCACTACCATGGGCCCCACATGGAGATTTTTCCTGCCAGCAGTTGGACTGGCTGGCAGGATCCTGCATTTATCCATGCACGCCTGTACTGGCTGTGGGGTCCCATATGGAACTTATTCATGTGCTTCCTCCCACAAAGGCTTGAATGCGGCAGGCCGAGTAAATGGGGCCACCCCTGTCACAAGTCTGATGAAGGGGCTGAGAAAAATCCTGCATTATTGTGGTGAAGGTCATAAGAGAGTACTTTTTTTTCCCCCCCAACTTAATTACTGTGGTGAAAATAGTAGATTACTGGACCCATTTCATCCTCCTTCGTGTTTTGTGTACTGTGGAGTCTAGAAAGCCAAACATGTTTTCCAGATTCTCTTTCAGCTAAGGGTGCTAATGGTGCTGCTATACTCTGTGGGCACTGAGAAGTTTAATTGGAATTTGGAGACATTCTGGAACATGTCTAGGATTGCCTCTTCCAGTGGTGACCATAGGAAGTCATTATAG